TTTCATGTCCACCCGCCCCCATTCAGGCCGAACCTCATGGCTTAAGGCAATCAGAGAAATGGAAGAGATACAAGTAATGGAAGAGAAAATCTTAGGAGTTGAAGATACACTAAGAGAAATAGACTCATCGACAAAAGAAAATCTTAAGTCCAACAAATCCCTAACACAAAATATCCAGGAAATATGGATACTGTGAAAAGACAAAACCTAAGAATAATAGGTATAGAAGAAGGTGAAGAAATCCAACTCAAAGGCACAGAAAACATATTCAACAAAATCATAGAAGAAAACTTTCCCAACCTAAAGAAAGACATGCCAATGAAAGTACAAGAAGTGTACAGATCACATAATAGAATGGACCACGACAAAAGGTCTCCTCGCCACAAATAATCAAAACACCAAACATACAGAATATAGAAAGAATATTAAGATTAGCAAAGGAAAAAGGTCAAGTAACATATAAAGGCAAACCTATCAGAAATACGCCTGAGTTTTCCAGGGAAACTCTGAAATCCAGAGGTCCTGGATAGATATTCTACAAACGTTAAGGGAACATGGATGCCAGCCCAGAGTACTATACCCAGCAAAGCTTTCAATCAATATAGATGGAGAAAACAAGATATTCCAAGACAAAACCAGATTCAAACAATACATATCCACAAATCCAGCCCTACAGAAAGTCCTGGAAGGAAAACTGCAACTCAAGGAAGTTAACTACAACCAGAAAACTAGAGGCAATAGATAACCCCACTTTACCATCATCCAAAGAGAACTGGGGTGGAAACCCACACACAGTTCCAACAACAACACCACCATATCCAAAACAAACAAGAATGCAAGCTGGAGGAGTAGACACCAGGAAATAATCAAACTGAGAGCTGATTTCAACAAAGTAGAAACTAGGAAAACAATACAAAGAATCAATATAACAAAGAGTTGGTTCTTCCAGAAAATCAACAAGATACACAAACCTATATCCAAATTTGCCAAAAGGCAAAGAAAGAGAGAGCATGCTAATTAACAAAATTAGAAATGAAAAGGGACACATAACAACAGACACTGAGGAAAACCAGAGAATCATCAGATCATGCTTGGAAAACCTGGATTCCTCAAAATTCAAAAATAATAAAATCCTGGCAAATCGAATCCAAGAACAAATCAGAAAAATCATCAACCGTGATCAAGTAGGCTTCATCCCAGGGAAGCAAGGATGGTTCAACATGTGAAAATCTATCCATGTAATTCACTATATAAAAACACTGTTCCAACTTTACTCCTGGGATTCCCAGGACAAATCTTGATCCATGTCTAGACCTACTCTATGCTAGATGGAATTAGGAGTCCTGGAGAGCACGGTAAACAGGATGACAGGCCCTGCCTCTCAACTGTGTGAGGGCAACAGGGAAGTTCAAGGTTGACTTCTTGACCATGCCTGACGGAGCCCTAGCCACGAGACTGCAGTTCTCCCAGTGAACTCCAGGTAGGGATATTAGGACTCAATAATCAGAAAATTGTTTCCCTGAGTCATGAGCTTCCCTTGCAGACTGACTTTAATCCTGTGTGTACTAACCCCAAGTACCTACCAAGCATTGTTGTGTTTCTTTTGTCGACAAAACCTCTCTGCATGGGGAAACATAGGGTTACCCCACTTAGGGCATCTATCATAGGGGAAGACAGGATTACTGCAGGAGAATCGCCTAAGTGAAGCGTAACAGTTACCCAGAAAGATCACAGAAGACGTGGGGTCTCTGTCAACACACAGCTCAGTCAATACCAGATGCTGGGAGATTGCTGTACTGGCTGTTGTTTAGTGTGCCAACTTGATGAAAGTTGGAGTCTTCAGAGAGGAAGGAGCCCTAGTTGAAGAAAAGCCTTCATGATCCAGGTATAAGGCATTTTCTTAATTAGTGACCAATGAGGGAGGGTCCAGACCACTGTGGGTGATGTCATCCCTAGACTGGTGGTCCTGGGTTCAGGAAGAAAGAAGGGCCAGCAAGCCAAGGAGAGCAAGCCAGAAAGCAGCACCCCTCCATGGCCTGTGCATCAGCTCCAGGATCCAGGATCCTGCCCCATTTGTGTTTCGGTCCTGATCCCTTCAGTGATGAGCATCAATGTGGAAGTGTAAGCCAAATACATTGGTTTCTCCCCAACTTGCTTTTTGGTGTCTGTTTCTTCACAGCAAAAGAAACCCTAACTAAGACTGTTACCTTGAAATCCTCCATAGGAAGTGTGCCCACAGTTTTCTTTCCAGGACACACAGGTCACCTCTTTCCCACACTGAGGACATGAAACTCCTGACACAACTGCTCCTGGGCTTCCCACCTGGATCAGAAGTTTGAACGGTGACACTAGTGATAAAGAGTTGATATGCATCCCTATTTATCACTCAGGTGGTCCCTTTCCAGCTGTCACCTTCTTCTGGGGGTAATTTCCACTTGCCCAGAGCACTGAGAACACAGGGCAGACTGGGTGCTCAGCTGTGTCTCTGTGTCACAAGGACGCATAAGCAGGATGGAGGCTCCTTCTTGGCTGTTGACAGATCCAAGAACAGGACACAGCAGATGTCAGCCCTGGGATGAGCCGTTGTTCTCTGAGGGCATGGGGATGCTTATCAGCCTTGTTGCTCATGTGTTCCTTGGAGAAGATACATAAAGAGAGAAAAGTTGAAGGAGATGTAGAGCAGGACAAAGATCAGAAGAGACAAGCAGTGCCTTGGACACAGACCCCACCACCCAGAGCCCATTGAATTCTGGGAAGTGCTCCAGCCTGGGGGACTGCTCATCCCAGAAGGAGGAAAGACAGCAGAGCCTGGGGACTGTGTTGGAGCTGAAGTTCCCCTCACAGGGAGGACGGCACAGTGAGAGGAGAGATGGAGGAGTATGCTATGATTCCCTGCAAGGGCTGCTCACCTTGGCAGGGGCTCCTGCTCACAGGTAAGTGTACCCAATCTCTGACTGTGTAGGGAGGGGAACTCAGAGGCAGGCTGGAGTCTCCTAAAGAAGAAAGAAGCCCCAGAGGAGACTCAAGGGTTCTATTTGCAGTCATGGGGCAGAAGGTAGAGTGAGAGACAGAGACTCAGCAGCCTGAAGCTCTCAGTGGGCAGGAGGCAATGAGGGGAAGAGAAAAACCTCAAATACTCCCCATTTTAAGTCTCTTATATCGGCTGAAATACTCTGAATCCTGATGTTCCCAACCATGACAGTGTGACCCTCCAAATAGAAATCAAACAGGGGCCTCCCTTTTAACCTGCTGGCACCTGACCACCACTGCCCAAGTCGCCATTGAATCAGTGCCGCCCCAAGTGGTTGAAGGAGAAGACGTCCTCCTACGTGTTCATCATCTACCAGACAATATTCTAGCCTTTGTCTGGCACAAAGGGGTGAGCAATATGAGCCACTCTATGCACTGGCCAAGGATGGAAGTGTGACAGGGCCCGAACACAGTGGTAGAGAGACGGTGTACAGCAACGGATCCCTGCAGATCCGCAATGTCACCCGGAAGGACACCGGATAATACACCTTCCGAACCATAAATGGACAAGTAGGTATAGTATCAACGACAACCATATACCTTCACGTGTACGGTAAGTGATCCGTTGTGAACTCTGGGTGGGGTCACTCCATCGAACACACACAGAAATGTCAGATCTAGCCGTGTATACCTCCCCTCTGTATGTGGCCCATGTTGGGTTTGAGAACTCAGTGCAGGACACACACGTTGGGGAATGACTGCAGTAGATGAGAATTCTTCTTTTGACCTCACCTTGCACACAGGTGGATGCATGGTAGGGAACTCAGCCAAGGAGATCAGCCTCTGCATAAACTCCTGGGGTTCTCACAGAAATGTGTTCTCGAGAAAGACCGAGTGACGACTGCAGTGTGAAGGGATCGGTCCCCTTCCCCAGGCAGCGCTCAGCTGGTCCCTTTGAAGCCTAAGGGACATCTCTGTCACCTGCTAGAGGATATTCCATCTTTTTAGAGCACTGAGAAAAACAGGGCGGACTGGGTGCCCATCTAGGTTTCTGTGTCCACACAGAGGCTCCCACGATGGTGCTGACAGACCCAGGGCCAGGACACAGCAAAGGGCAGACCCAGGGTGAGCTTCTGTTCTCTCAGG